TCTCTTCCTCCCTCGACTTTTCCCGATTGCCAAAACCGGAGTTGAGTTTGGAGTAGGAGTGATAGCAACCGACTTCCCCTTAAGACCTGTTTCTGCGGTCTTGAGAAGTCCCTGAAGTTTGCTGAGGGTGACCTCTTCCTTGTTCATGTGATATGTCATGCGGAATTGATCATAGCACGATGGTAAGGAGTGCAAAATGATATCTATTGCAAGCTCCTCAGGGAAGTTCACATTAAGCTTCAGCAAACGATCCACATACCTTTGCATTTTCTGCATGTGGCTCGTGACGGAATCTCCGTCCTTCATCATGGTTGTTATCATGGAGCAGATGATTTCGTACCTCTCTTGTCGTGCACTTTGATGGTATCTTTCCATCAAATCTTGGTGCATTTCATAAGGGTAGAAATCCTCATAGGACTTTTGGAGTTCTGCTGTCATTGTGGCCATCATGATGCATGCTACTTTCGTAGCATCCCTTTCATGTGCCTGAAAGTCAGCGATCTCCTGAGGAGTTGCAGTGGTCTCATCAATCTCCTTAAGCTCCTTGTCAAGGACATATTCTTTGTCCTCGTAGCGGGTAATCATCCTGATGTTTCTGATCCATTCATTGAAGTTGGATCCATCAAAGGTGACTTTCCCACACAAACTCATAAGAGTAAAGGAGCCATTAGGATTCGAGCCAGAAGCATTATTTGAAGACATCTGAAAGAGGAGAACAAGTTTAGTATAGATTTAAGAGAGTCCTTAATAAAACACCCAAATGTAATATTAAGGCTAGGATCCAATCACAATATAATATAACTTAGAAGAGGTATGCCGTAATCTAAGCTATACCATATTTGAAAGGTAGGTGAATGACGATTCACCAATTTCCACCACGAAAACCGAAATATTAGATATTAGGTTTTATTGGTTTTTAGAAATTCCTAGATTCTTTGAGATTCAATGAACTTTTCAAAGGCATGTTTCAATCTCGAGAGTGCCCTCCAAGTTTTGTGACTGGGATACCGAGGATCACAAAACGAGGTGTGAAGTAACCATGCAAATCACTTGGTACCCTTAAAGTTTATCACTCAATCGATGTGCCGGTAAACCACACACGCTCCACCGATACTATAATAAACCTTAAGTCACCCTTTACCTACCTTGTTAAGTCCAAGTTAGTGTGCCGGTTAACCACACACGCTCCACCAACGACTTAGACAAAGTGTAAAGTGTAATTTCATGGATTAGCACCTTATTCACATTTTCCTAAAGTAACTAAGATTGGGAATTTAATAAAACATTTAGTTACTTTATTATATTCATCATACTTTGAATGAGAATTTATAAGTCCTTGTCTTACCCGTTCGGCTAACGACCCTCCACCAGTCAAGCAAGCGGTGGGTGAGAGTAGACACCCATTAAGTCACCATTTTATAGGCAACAACCTTATACCCACCTTATAGACCGGCTTCGTGAATGAGGCGTACTAGCGGTAAGACGACTTTATTCTTATACATATATATATATATATATATATATATATATATATATATATATAATTATTAAATCATCATAATATAAGTATAAGGGTTGAATTTTAACTTTTAAAATTCTAGGGGTTGGAACTTAAAGTTTTAACTTAACTTTTCTTGTTCCAAAACTTGAGGGCAAGTTTTGTAACTTTCAAAACTTTTCATTTCTTGTAACTTATGAGTTTAATAGAGTAATAAAATGAAGACTCTTCATTTTTCTAACTCTTGTGTTTGTTTTAATGGTTTTAATTCAAGTGTGACTCTTGGTTTTCCATAACTTGAGGACAAGTTATGGACTCCATTAAAACACATTATGATCAAGAATTAATCTACCACATAGGTTACAAATAATTCCTATGATCATCTAAAACATCATAAGAACAAGAACATGAATATGAACACAATCAAAAATTACATTTAAAACTTTGTAATTTTGATAACTAGTTGTTGTGAATGAATTAGAAAGAACATTACACCATCAAAACAAGTTTTCAAGTACCAAAACAGTTTAGGGTAATGTTTCTAGTCCATTTCCAGCAACTAAAATCGAAATTCTGCAATCAGTCGATCCTACTCGCCGAGTGCATGAATTTACTCGCCGAGTTGGTTGAAGATACACGTGAACTCGCCGAGTCCCCCCTATAGACTCGACGAGTCCACTCGTAGACAGCAAGATTTTCGACTTTTTTTTCAACTTTTAAGCACAAATAAAAAGCAAACAAGCCTAGGCTCTGATACCACTGATGGGTTTTGAGCATTCTAACACTTCCTAAGTGTACATGCAACCCTAATAACCTTGGATCTATGTTTGTCTAATTATCATGCAAAGTTGAATTCCAAGGTTATATTCCTATCTAGCATACATGGGGAACAATTTTAACTTAGAATAGTAGATAGAATAACTTACCTTGTTGTTGTTTGTGTTCCTTGAAACCTTGTGAGCCTAGCACCCCAAGTGTGATGCCTCAAATGCTTCACACAACACCAAATGCTCTTGGAAGAACTTATGAGAGAACACACACTTCTCAAAATCGGCCAAGCCCTCTTGTTTCTTAGTGTGTCAACCGATTTTAGGTGGAGAACATGTTTCTTATATAGTGTTGACACATCTAGGGTTAAACCCTAATGTGTCATGACTCTTCATTTCCATGACCCATGGGTTTGTAACTCCCATGGAGCATCCTATGGGTGGAACCCAACTTGATAATCCATGGAGCCTCTTAGCCCACTATACAAGATATGGATGATTTACATAATCAACCCATATATTTAATTAGTTATCTTTTGATCACATAATTAATTCTAAATTAATTCTTGATCAAACTAATCAAATAATATTATTAATATATTAGAACTTATAATATATTAATAATCTCCAAGTGTTATTTCTCTCATTTAGTCTATCCAATTGCACGGTGCCATGCAACCCAAATGGACCATGCCGGGTCGGGTCAAGTACATACCAGAAATAGTTATGGACTTAGACACCTTATCCAACAAGAAGGTGCTAATCCAGTGATTTCTGAGCTCAGGGACTTCATTTGAGGTATCCATTCGTTCCTTTCTCAGTCCTTGTTGTGAATATTAGAGTTAGGGTTTCTTTGTGGAAGAGATCCATGGAGTAATTGGCCTCTTCTTGTGTTAGTACTTTAGATTTGGACCCAAAGAGGTCCAGAGACCCTTTTCCCTCAACCTTTATGAGTGTTAATGGAGGCCATAACCTTAGAATAGCATTCTAGAGATCATATCATCAAATAAGTCCTTTGGACCTTTGCATGAGCACCAAGATTGTGACTTTACGTGATGAATGTGCTTGAAAGGACTGGATCTAGGAGTTATTGGAACGGATCTGACCTCAGAAGTGAGTTTGAGTTCATGCATGGCATAGACTTGCCGAGTCCAAAGAACAGACTCGACGAGTAGGATGAATATTGTCCATAACCACTTAGCGAGTGGTCTTGCCGAGTTAAGGGGCTAACTCAGTGAGTCAGGGAGAGTCAGAGAGGGTTGACAGGTGGAATGAATCAAACTGGAACTCGCCGAGTTGTTTTGAGACTCGGTGAGTTGAGTCATGGTGGCCCCACGATTCATGCCAGGTGGAACTCATCGAGTTAGGGGAGTACTCAACGTGCCAAGAGAGAATCCGAGGGAGTTAGCGAACATGTGTAGACTCGCCGAGTCGCTCTTATGTACTTGCCGAGTCCTGGTCAAAGTTAACCATTGACCAGAGTTGACCTGTGTTGACTTAGTGGGGTTAGTCAACCTTAGTTGTGAAAATGTTAAAGATGTATTGTATTATAGGAGGATTATAGCTTGGGGGATCAAGTACGAGTGGGTTCAGGGATTTGCGAGCTATCGAGATACACGAGGTGAGTCTTCTCACTATACTTTACCTTGAGTAGGTAACTAGAGTTATGTGATACAGTGCTTGTATGCTATATGTGTGTTATGTGTTGCGCTGCATTATTCTTTGTGATTTATGCTGTGCATGTTTACAGAGTTAGAACCTGAGGGTTCACAGAGTTTGGGTGCACGGACCCACAAAGTTATAGCCTTGGCTAATATGTGTTATATGTGGTATTTTGGGGAACTCACTAAGCTTTGTGCTTGCAGTGTTTGGTGTTATTTGTTTCAGGTACTAGTGATGACCGTGGGAAGGCGTCGACTTGATCAGTACACACGCATGGGATTTTATGATTTTTGAGATCTTGGGATTTTTTTATTCACTACTAGAAAACAATGCGCTTTTTACGACACACACTGATTAGTGATACGCAAAAGGGTGTGCCCTAAAAATAATGTCAGTTCTTTAGAAATTTAAAGAATTTTGGACGCGCATTTTTTGCGTGCCCTAGAATTAGTGTCTCACCAAAAAAAAAACACGGAGGCGCTTATGTTAAAGGCGTGTTGACTAGAAATGTCGCTTTATAATTTTAGAAACGCGCTCTTCAGCAACTAGCAGCGGGAAAAAGGAAATAAAATAAAATTAGAAAACCCGCCTTCCTTCCTTGTTTCCCCTCTTTAGCTCTGGGTGTGTTCTTTGACCACAAAAATCTTCTCCGGTCTTCCTCCGCCTCCCTACATCGAGTGTTGCTTGCTTCTTTCCCTTGCACTCTGACCGCCGCCACCGATTCTTCGCCGTCAAGGCTCATTTACTTCTACCCACAGGAACCACCATATCTCCTACTCGATGTTGAAATTGTCAGAAAAAGCCCTAATTCAATATTATACTCTCAAGTCTCAATATTAAGAATGCAAATCTTGATTCTCGTTTGTTTCTTATTCCCCACAGATAAATCGAAAAAAGAGAATTAGAATGACGAAGGTAGCGGGAGTTTTGGTCCGGTGGTCGTGGTTCATTTATCGAGCAAGGAAGATAGGAACGCAAGCAGCCATGGTGGCTCGATGATGGCAATCAATCGAGAAAGGGGAAGCACCTCTGGCGCGGGATCGATTTGACGAAAGGAGAAGGGAGAAGCAGCAATGCTTCTCTTGTCTGCCGCAGCTAGGGGGCGCTCCAGCGGTCTCCTTAGCTGTTCTTCCTTGTCGCCAACAGATTACACGCAGGGAGGGGACTCAACTAGTCCGATGGAGCAGGGCAGGTAGCGACTGGTAGATCGGGACGATCGATCTATTCGTGATGAGGAGGTGGAAATTATCGGTTCCCGGTGAGCCTTCCTTGGCTTCTTAGACTCCATCATCGGTAAAACTCAGGGTAAACGAGTCAGGTTCTTTTTTGATTTTGATGAATGAAACGGAGGGGAGGGGGGAAGGTTTGGGTCGAGGTCTGATCGATGAAAATAGTGGGAGCCTCTTGGTCTTGTCGGATGCTACTCCATCTCCAGTGGTCATTTAGAACGAAGCGGAGGACCTCTGGGGTTTGGATAGATCAAAGGAAGAAGAAGAATGAAGTTGTGGTGGTCTTCGGTGATTGAAGGTAAATGGATGGGGTTTTCTTGAACCTCACAGTTCATATTCTTCTTCTTCTTGGGACTTTTTTCTTGATGTTAGACAAACAATGTTTATTCTCCTGTAGTATAAAATTATTGTTCACAAACACAAATGAATACTCCCTCCTTCCAAACAACTAGTCCAAAATTCAAAATTAACTCAAATGCTTTAGTTTTTCTTGACTTTGAATCTTTATTTTTTGTCATAATGATCAACATTGGGGCTTTTTTTCTCAGAGAAAGACCGGGGGTTTAGTTGTCTAAAGATCTGGAAGCATTATCATACTGTACAGAGGAACAGACTACAAGTGTCCTTACTTCTTTGTAAAACCAAATGATGCATCTGTTGATGAACCAATGAGTTCATCTACAAAATCTGAAGTTAATGGTGTTCAAACAAGAACAACAACTGAGCCAGAGCCACCTTTGATTCAAGGAGTGGGTTCAAGAACCAGGGTTCGATTTCAGCTACCTGGTGAGAAACAGCTCATGGAAGAATCTGATCAGCTTTTGCAAGGTTTGGGTCCAAGGTTTCAGCCTGTTGGAAGTTGGATTTCACGGATTGATTCATCCCTATCTTCTTGTGATTTTTAAATACAATTTTGATTTTCTAAACAATTTTTATCTAATTGAACATGGTGCACCTATTATTTTTTGTGTATTGCAACTAGAAAAAAAGGGAAAAATCTCAATTTTGATGGTACAAATGAACGAAACAGATCCACATCTTTAATTAGTTGTGTAGTTAGAAGAGCAAAATTCGATGTATACATGACTCTTGACCATAGACACCAATATGATCGTATGCGGCTGGCACTCAATCTTCTCCACTTATGACAAAACGATAGTTTAACAAAGGTTCAACATCTCTTATAACTATTGTTTTTTAGCAGTGAAGATTTTTAAGGAAAAAAGGATTTTGCAGGGTTACATGGTGGGAATTAAGCTAGATTGGAGAGGCAATGGTAATGGATGTTGTGAGGATTTTAATAAATCATAAGTCCTCTTCTAGAATTGATAAGACAAGGCGAACCAAGACATGTTTTAACAACATGGTGGTTGCTAGCTAATGGAGGGCCAATCGAATGGGGTAACACCTTGATTCAATCAAAACTTGTTCCGGTCGTCTGTGGTAAGTCATTGGAATTTCAAGACCTGATTTGAGACATTATTAATCAATAAAAGTTAAGACTTTTATGTTTATGAAATGATAATAATAAAATAATTATAATTGTGATTTATTAATCCAGGGATCTCAGTCGTAACTACCTCAATGGAACTTTACCTCCCCCAATGGGCTACTATGCGTTTGGTTGACCTGTATGATTTCTGAACCACCCAATTTTTTTACATGTGAAAAATAATTATTTTACTTTAATTAAACGTCTTAATCTTATAATAATAAACCATGATTATATGCAGCTCTCTCATGGTAAACAAATTATCCGGCCCATTTCCAAGAGTTCTCAGCAGAATAACTACCCTTGTAAATTTGTAGACAACATCACCCATTCTTATTTTGTTACAATACAATACATAGAAAGAAAAACATCACTTTGATTGTTTCTTCAACATTTTTTAGGAGCATGGAAGGAAATCACTTTTCAGGATCCATACCCCAAGAGATTGTCAACATGAAAAATGTGCAAAAACTGTAATAACTAATAACTTTTCTTTTCACCTTTTTTACCCTTGTACACTTCTTCTTAAAACCCTAAGAAGGAAAAATAATAGATTGAAATTATAAACTTTGATCTATATTCATATAAAATTTTGTATTTCCATTTCCCAGCATTCTGGCTTCAAATGAATTATCTGGCCCACTGCCTGTTGGACTTGGAAAACTTACAAACTTGACTAATATGTGAGTATACATGTACATAGTACATACATCTTGTAAACTTATCAGCCATGTTTTAAATATTATGTTTTCATCTCATATTATTTATGCATTATTAGGTTCCTTTAACTGCTGTTACATCAATCATTGATGGCTTAAAGAAGCTCTACATCCAGAAGCTGAAACCTTTAGAAGTCACATATTGGGGACCAGATTCTGACCCCCCGAATCCCATATTTTTCTACCCTATTATATCCCAGGTACAAATAGGTTAAACTCAGCTAGCTTGTGAAAGGTAGATACTGTTAACCAAGAAGAGGGTCGATCAAATGGAGTGGAGTAGTAGCAACCCCATTCCCTTTATTCCTCGGAATGCAAAAAGTTCCTTTTCCTTTTTGTATAACTATAACATTGTCGACCCCTATCTATACCCACCTGGTAATTCACATTCTTTGTTTTGCTTCATTTTGTGCCTTTCCTTTCAAGTTACTTATATATCAAATGTATGATGTTCAAAAAAGTATTCGAATGTATAATTACTTTCACAAGAGAAGAAATAATTGAATAGATTGTTAACTCTCAAAATGGTCAAACGATTTTTTTTCTATTTAAATTTTGTTGGAATTATTATCAGGAAAGGTCAAATGGCTCAATGCCTTGTTGGTGCAGATCTACATGGGGCACTTATTCTAGCTTAAAACTCACTGCACCCTATATCTATTTGTATATAATTTTATCATATATTTCATCACTATAATTTTTTTGTGTTAAAATTTTTCACTTTTCGCAGTTGCACGATGCAAAATGGCAGGTTTCACTAGAGTGAGTGGGATCATGATCCGTGAAACTGCAGAGACAAGTATTGCTATGTTTATTTGTTTTCAGAGCTCAAGTATTGCTATCTTCTCACATTTGAGTTTATAGGAATCAACAATCACTGTGAAACTTCTAGTGTTTAGATTTCTTACTGGTTGTGAACATTTGTTTCTTCCCTTTCTACCCTTCACTTGTAGGTTGATGATTTGTCAAGAATGTTCAGACTATTTTCCAAAAATACCCCATGGATTGGATCCTGTCTCTAGTATGTTTAAATAGGTTTGTGATTTAGGAGTTGGAGTTTTTTTTAAGTAGAATGCAGTTATTTGTATTTGTTGTCATCTATTTTTATCTTTTTGATGCAATGCAGCATGTTGCTACTGAAGGCACAACCTTGGTCAAACAGGAAGAAGATGCTGCAAGTAATAAGAAGGCAGAAAAGAGATTGCATGTTGATCCTGCTACATGGACAATAATGATCTTTAGGGCCTGCTAGAAGGATTGGAGATTGCAGTTAAGCTTCTTTCTAAGACTTCATGCCAAGGACTTAATGAATTTAAGATATCATATTTTGGCATGGCTAGAAGCTTTGGAGGAAACAAGACTCAAGCAAAAGTAAACATACAGAGAGTTGTTGGCACATAGTAAGCTAGATAATGCAATTGTATATAAATGAGTTCATTTTTTTTATAACTTTTACTCACTATTGGAATAATTATTTCTATTTGACATATTAGTGAAATGAATTATCTTTGTTATTTATGGTATTTTATTTTTTATTATGAGATTTTTAATGTATTATTTAATTTGAAAATTAGTAAATCTATAAATAATATTTTTTTAAACATTTCAAATTATGATACGCAAAAATGTGTGTCATCTTCATTTATGACATGACCTTTCTTGACAGAGGCTTTCTTGATACGCATTGTGTGTCATTAACACGCGTGTGATAAGTTTACGACACGCGAATGCGTGTCGTCTTCCTTTACGACAGGATCTTCCTTGATACGCATTGCGTGTCGTAAACGCGCGTCGTAATTGCGCATCGTAAAGGAGTGTCGTAAATGCGCGTCGTCTATAGACGACGCGCAAAAGCACGTCGTCTCTCGTTATGACAGGGCCTTCCTTGACGCGCATTTGCGCGTCGTCTGAGCCTTTTACGACGCGCAATGAGCGTCGTAAAAGGCTGTTTTTCTAGTAGTGATTACTTGGATTGAATTTCAAACATCGTTGTTTTATGAATATTAAGTGAATTATATTTTTATAAAAATTCAAAATTTTGTTTTGAAATTTATGGTGTTACATTCTTCTTGCACTCTTCAACCTTCTCCTTCTTCTCCCAAGCTCCAAACCACCTTCAAAATGCTAAAAATCACCCACAAGGACACAAAGGGGGCTAGGGTTTCGTTCTACAGATCTCTGGGAGTGTTAGGGGTAGTGGAGGTTGGGTTAGATCGTTTAAATAGGGTGCGAACATCCAGGTTAGGGTTTTAGTCCAGACAGGGTGTACTCGCCGAGTCCCACGACCCTACTCGCTGAGTAACTAGAGTTGATCCTGTGACTAGACCTGCTTCTATTCGTCGAGTTAGTCCTTCAACTCGCCGAGTGCATGGTTAAAATGCAATTCATAAGGAGAGTTAATAATCAAGAATAGATACCAGGAACCAGGTGCTACACGAACCTTACATGATATACAACTATAAACACTAAGGGGCCATTGTGCTTTGAACTTAAAATATACTTTTAAAATATAAGTATTTTTACAAAAAGTATACAAGTTTACCTACATACCACAAACAGTATCATGAGTAGAATAAAACGAAAGTATTTGGATGTTGGATGTTGCGGTTAAACATGGGCAGTTATGTAATCATGTCTAGGGTCAATATTGCCTGATCAACTATATTTATTCGAGACATTACCAACATGTGCTTAGGAGTGACTGTGGTGTTGCAATAGGCCTCATTACTAGAAAAATAGCCTTTTACGACGTGCAATGCGTGTTGTAAAACGCTCAGACGACGCGCAAATGCGTGTCAAGGAGGGCCGTGTCATAAAGAGAGATGATGCGCTTTTGCGTGTCGTCTATTTACGATGCACATTAATGACACACATTTACGACGTGCAGTTATAACACGCAATGCGTATCAAGGAAGGCCCTGTCATAAAGGAAGACGACACGCATATGCATGTTGTAACCTTACGACACACGTGTTTATGACACACACTGCGTATCAAGGAAGGCCCTGTCATAATGGAAGACAAAACGCATTTTTGTGTGTGATAATTTTAAATGTTTTTAAAATTATATATTTTGATAGGTTTACTAATTTTTAAATTAAATAACATTAGAAGTCTCATAATACAAAATAAAATACCACAAGCAATAAAGATAATTCATTGCACTAACAATTAACAAACATTATGAGTGTTGATATACAATAATAATTAACAAACATCATGAATTTCTCTTAGTGCTAGTTTGCTTCTCTCATGGTATTACTACATCTATACAGAGATGTAATTTGTTCTTGTAAATTGTAATGTACTCCCTCATTTAGTGATCATATGCATCAGCCTCAAATTCTTGCATAAAAATGGTACTTTAAACTGGAAACAAGAAATAAAACATGGTCAAAAAAGGGTATAGAAGTAAATTGTAATAACAAGCTACCTTTGATTTAGACATTTGAGAGATGATGATGTACACGTAAAGCATCAAAAATGGTGTCAACCCGTCTATCAAATGCAAAGGGTAAATAAACATGCGAACTTATAATAATAATAATAATATAATTAATAGTATGAGAGGAATTATAATATTATATATAATTATATATTACCCGTGAAGACCAGGGGTAGATGGGTGGTATACATTTGTTAAGCCTAATTTTCTAGCAACTGAAGCAGTGGTTTCACCAAAGCATGCAACAGAACCCTCCCATGTATGTGGTTCAGGTAGAAGATCCACCCAAGCACTCTTGTAGAATAAGAGAAAATATAAGCTGAAATAGAAAGAAAATAGTAATAGAATTTAGCATCAGAATATTAATTACCCAACTGTAGAAGGTGATGCAACTGCAACTGCAGAAGCAGAGAGTGCTTGTTGTAGAATGGTTTGATCCACATGTTGTATAGGTTCCTAAAGTACAACAAACCAAAAATAATGTAATAGAAATTCCCTTGATATTAATAAGAATGTGAAATGCCACATCAAAAATTTGTCATAACTAAAACACATACTAGTGTGTAAGTATTCAATCTTGTGATGTGGAATCCATGCCTAGAAAGACCTTCCTCTTTTTAATTTTAGTACATATATGACCTCATGAGATAGTGGAAATGTCATATGTATAAAAAGATATAATTATGAAGATGAAATGTTATGGAAGAGAAATAATCTAAGGAGTTAAAGGGTGTACCTATATCATGACCAACTTTTGCAGAGGCATGATACTGCACAGTGCATCTTTCATTCCCTTGATTTGGAGGCTTTGAAGCAAGAACCTTGCCAGTTGCTATGAAAGAAGATCATAAAACTAAATATTATCTTCTACAGATGTTTGGAGTGATAGTATGGAATTTAGAAGGAAGAAATTTATTTAGAGATAGTACCTTTTGATGGAGTAAAGGAAACTTCTATAAACTTCTCGGATGAAGGTTTAACTTCATGAAATATGGTTGCTATACCAGTTCCAACTGCAGCTACCTTCACATTTGGGGTCCCAGCAGCTCTATGATTGTAGATGACATGAGAGTAACTGGTCAATCGACTAAAAAAAGAAATAAATAAAAAGATGGCGTGGAGCCATTGCAACTTGAAATTATAGATGGGTAAATTTCTTAACTTATTTCCATGCTTGAAGAAAAACCAGAGCTGCCTCTGGTAAAGTTACCTTGAATTGCAAAGTGTTGTTAACCTACAAAACATCATCTTTCTCTGTCATATTAGGACACCTAAAAGAGTAAAAGACAGAGTAAACAATCAGGCATCAAGTCAGTAGGTTATGGAAGCATGCTATAAATTTAACCACACAATCACAAAGGTCAATGATGGCTACTCTGATGTTAATGCACCGTTGCCCAAGAAAGTTAAAAAGAAATGATAGAATTGTGAAGGGCTAAAAGGATGTAACAAGTCTATTCAACTTCACCTTGAAAAGCAAACATTCAATTCGGTTGCTTAGTTAAAAAAAAAGGAAGAAACAGTTTTGATCCTTCATAATCATACCATCTTGTCATGTAAGGCACACAGTAATGCTTTGTAGTACATTTCTAGCACCTAACAACTCGTCCACTATCGTTTCTTTGACACTGATGGCACATGTTTGAAGGTACATAAACCAGATTTCCCTTACAACAAATGAAGAAGATAAGGAGATGTTTAATCAAGGAGATTTATTTACATTTTAAATAGAGAAAGAGGGGAGTCAGGGACACAAAATGTGTTACATTTTCATCTGGAACCTTGTGCCGTGCAACACACCTTGGCTTTGATTCCTCCTTCTTGCTTGAGCTTGAAGTTTTCTTGCTTCTCTTTTCTTTCTTTAGAACTGACTGCAGATGTTTCTTCTTCCTTCCATTGCAGCACGACCTTCTACAAGTGCATAACCTGCAAAACATCATCTTAACATCTCCCCAAGACTACTGTAATCTTTTAGAGAAATGCTACATAGGATTACAACATAAAATGCCCAAATGGAAGCCCACAAAAAGAAAAGAAAAACTCGTCTCCATGAGAACATATTGGATTTAATGATTTTCTATTCTGAATCTAATCATCATCAATATATGGGAACAGTTTCCTTGGTGGTGTATCAAGACCAGAACCTACTAAAAGAACCAACTGATATATATATATATATATATATATATATATATATATATATATATATATATATATATCATGTAAAAGAGTTGAAGGTTAATGTAGTAAAAGGAGAGGAAAAGGGTATAATTGTCAATTTGTCATACATGAATGACTAGAATAACAGGATAGAGAGACAAATGAGATGCAATCACCCATCCAAAAGTAGCCAATGGAACAAGCCTTGTTGCAATTAGATTCAAGAACATTAATCCTATTATTAATATTATTATTAGAAATATAAAATAGTAATTATAAATTAAAGGGTTTAAAAGGTCTTACTCATGCAAGCCCCATATACTGATAATACAATCACTAGATTTTCAAATGGGGATGTTGAATATCCCAAACAAGTGATGATGGTCAAAGGATTCCATAAGTAAAAAAGAGCAGCTATTTCACCAGATGGAAAATTTTCTACAAAACACAAACTTCATCAGCTTTTTTTTCAAAAAATAAAATAACATAAAGTTGTTACTGAGAGGAAAACCTGAAACATTAAGATGTGTAGTGGCTCCTAAGGATTTCAGGCTCTTGATATCTGCTACTTGAAGAAGCTGGCCAATTGCACGAATGAGTATTGCAGTGATGATATCTGCAACAACAAATGCCATACTGTATCCAAGAATATAATCTCATATCAACTATGGAATTAAGGAATTTTACTAGAATTTGATAATTGATAATAACAAATGACGAAAGAAATGACAAGATTAACAAACCAAAGGGCTTCTAGCCCAGCGGCATCAGGTGGTGCCCTCCCTCTTTGAGGTCGGGGGTTCAAGTCTCGTTGTGGACATAGGTATAATAGGTGTTGTTAGCTTAGGAGTAGATTAGATTTGTCGGTTAAAAAAAACAAAGCAAAGATAAGTATAAAGATTCTAAATTCTCTTTGATTTTTCCACCTTACCCGCATAAAAGATGATTTGACTTCCCTTCACCTCTGCAAACCGAGTAACAAGCAATCATAAGTATATCAATATCAGATGATCAGATCATATCACACATAGTAATGTTCTACATCTCCATAAAGAAGATCCTACACTAAACTAATCACCTACATGATACATCACATGCTAAATGTTCATATTGTTTATTATTTTAGATATGAAGATGAAATAGTACTAACTACACAGCATATGATCATTGAAAATTCAAAATTATTCCTCATCAAGCACTCCCAAACTTTGAAGAAAATAGAAAAGAGAGATTTTGGAACACAGTTTGGTTTTTCTGATCGAAGAGACTTATTTTGAATATGATAAAGTATACTAAAAGCTATGAGAAATACTATAAATAGAAAATAATTAGTGCCATTACATCAAAAAACTCCATTGCACGCTCCTGTGCACCTCCACCACGTGGGTCCCAACACTTCAAATTTTTGTCCCAACTCCATGTAATCAATTTCCCTAAAAGCCACCAACAAGAAAAAGAATTGAAAACACAATGATGTAATAGAAGGAAATTGTGACAACCTAAAAATTTCTATTCTGTACAACCACCCACTTCAATATGAGTCAAAACTATTTCTGCTAACTTTCAAACTTTTTGGAATAAGTTTGAGTGTTTTAAAGTTAGTACTTCAGAAGATATCTGGAGAGTGGATGCCCTAGTTTTTGTTATGCATCAATTAGGTTCCAAAAACTCTAAGAGTTTGAGTTTATGGCCCAAATGGTATTTGGACAGTAAACCCTAATGGCTATATAAGTGAGACTTGGTTATTTTTCTCACTTTTTCACAATTCCATGATCCAAACTCAAATCCTCTCAAGTACCATCCGAATTTTCCTCCTTGATCTTCAACTTGTAAGTGTTTTTAGCCCTAATATGCTTAGATCAAGTGTTATACTTCATGAAATCATCCAAACACCCCAAAGAAAAGGTGTTCACGGCCCAAGAATCTTCTTGGACTGTGAACACTAAACATGTGGCAATAATATGCCCAATGTCCCTCCAGACCTTTGAAACAAGCTTAGAAGCAACCCTTGACATGTCTAGAACTTAAGAGCATCAAGAAAACACCCAAATATCACAAGGAACTAGTGTTTATGGTCCAAGAATCGCCTTGGACTGTAAACCCTAAAAAGGGTGCTAAAGGTTGCTAAAGTGCCCCTTAAACTCTTACCAAACCTTAGAAACAAACATAGAACCTTCCTTGGATGTGTTTAGCACAAGAAAACCACAAAAATGTCCCATGTTTATGTGTTTACGGTTTGGGGAGATCCCAAAACTGTAAACATCCCAATCAAGGTTATGATGCCCCATAACTTCTTCCTTAAGCTTAGAAACTAGCCTAGACCTTTACCCGGAAGTGTTTAAGACTTGAAAACATCATTTGACTATGAACCATTTGGGTTTACTACCTTAAACCCAAGGACAAATGGTCCAAAAACTGTAAACCCTATAAAGGGGTGATATGTTGACCTAATCACTTCCTAAGGCTAAGACTTGAAGTTAGGATGCTTCAAAATGACTTCTAGGACTTCAAAGCACAAAATGGTCAAAAGGACATGAGTTTACGATAGTAAACTCATGGGTTTCAACCATAAATTCAATTGGATTTGGTTACAAAACCGTAAACACCAATTAGTGTCATTTCACTTCCCTTTGTTGAATCACATGTGATTCCAACACCTAGCCAAGGTGTTTCCCAGTCCCGGAAGGTGTTTCCTTTCATATAGTTGTTTATAAACACTATATTCATGTCAATATGTGTCCTTATATGTCATTTAGGACTTACCGTGTCATGGGACTTCATTTGTGGAACTTCTCATCAGTACGCGCATACCCGATTGAATCACGCACATTAGGTGAGTTCATACCCCGTAATGAATCTTTTAACTATTTTAACTGTTTTAAGGGGGGGGGGGGGGGAGGGGGATACAGGTTGAACACAATGATAATTATGTAAATTTTTGTTGTTAAACATCTTTCAAAATGTTACTTATGTTATTTATAAGTTGTCAAAATGTTTCAAAACTCGTTTAAAGTTATGTTACTTTATAGTTATACAAAACTCTGTTTTTAGAGTACAAACATAACTTAGAAGATAAATGAGTCTTTGCAGTAACAGTCCATGTAGAACATTAGTAAACTATTATAGGTATAGTTTAGGAGAATGCTATTCATTACATCTAGTACAATGAAGGACACTAAGAAACAGTACCATAACAGAACAAACAGTGAAGAGAATCAAACAACACCATAACAGAACATATAGTGAAGAGAATCAAGCAGTACCAGAACAGAACATAACAAATAGGATAAGTTGCTATAGCATGAGAACACAGAAAAATGATCTAATTATATCAATGAATCACTAACGCAGTAGTCATAGTTATATTGGGTATACATGATCATATAACTTTAATGTGAATTACGCGGCTTGCAAGGAATTGCTGGGGTCGCGGTTGGTTCCCTTAATCTTTTTTCATTGAGAGCGTTTAGTAGGGGTTCTAGCTTTCACATTATGACCGTAATAAAACAAATATGTTTTTAGGTAATTAGTACATACGCATGTCATTATAAACGACATCTGTGTACTTACTTTTCCCATTACTTTCATAAAGTGTTAGTATCACTTAAAAGTTGATCTATTTTCTAGTCAAGATAGTTATAAAATAAGGAGAATATACTTTTACATTTAACAAAGGAACAGTCGAGTTTAACACATAACAGAAGATGCCTTGAAAGAAGGCTACGATTAAAGGTTAGGATCATGATGCTAACTTTATGATTCCTTAATGTGTACAGTATAGGATATATATATATATATATATATATATATATATATATATATATATATATATATATATATATATATATATATATATGTTAATAGATTCCAACAACTAATAGGATGTGTGCTCTTCACTTCACTTCCTGTTCTCGTTGGATTGTGGGCTTGGAATGAGGTCTTCCAATCTATTATCTACCTGATTCTATATATATATATATAGTATCCATTAAGTCATCATAAGGGTACCAGGTATGTATCAGGTTATAGGACACAAAGTCAATGCACAATTTTTCTAGTACAAAACTTACTTTTCAAAGTCAGTACTTTTGGTATACAAAACTAGAGATTTTCCCTGATAAGGGCTTAATCCATTTTATTAAGCCAATACAGTTTAGAGACTTTAGGTGAATAACTCTATAACACCTTAGTTTATACACCATGTTTATATATAAAGCTAATACCCAATAGATAGTTAACTGTGTGTTTTCCGCCTTACTTCTTGTTCCCGTTGGATTGTGGGTGTAGGGCAGATTCGCTCAATTAACTTTCTACCCTGCATCAGATTATATATAGCAGTATAAATAAAGTATTATAAAAGTAGTCACCGTAGTCATTATTTTACTATAAGAAATATATGTTTTCTTAAAGAACTTTTCATTAGATATAAAGGAACCACTAAAAATAACATCATGAGTAACAAGTGAATACACCAGAGTTATATATGACAACAATCTAATAACTAATTGAATGTGTGCTATCCACTTTACTTTCTGTTCCCCGTTGGGTTGTGAGCTTAGGGCAGATGCGTACAATCGATTGTTTATTTACTCTGAGTATATATAATTTGTACCCACTTAGTACCCATAGAAAGGCTTGTAGTGTCATTTTACTTAACTTTCATTCATGTAGGAAATATTTGATTTTCTAGAGGAATAGGCGAACCTTTCAAAACAGAACTTACAACTTACATCACTTTTACATATACATTTTCCGCAATGGTTTACAACTTACTCACATCACTAAAATCTTATGAACTCACCAGCTTAATTATTGATCACCTCTTTCAAATAACTTGTATTCTCAGGAGACTGTTAGACAGGTGCTCGTGTTGGGGATTCAGAAGATGGAGTATTATAGCTTCAAGTCTTGTTTTGTTATTTGTGTATGAATTCTATGTTTTGTGAACACACACATTGTAAACACTTTCTTTCTAAATGAAATGGTTGTTCATTACTTGCTAACCATTACATATCTCGTGATACTTGACATGACGTCCTCCACCCCCGAACATTTCCACCGTTCCAGTTTTGGGGTGTGACAGAAATGAAAGTATGAATGTATGATGATATTAACAAAATGAAAACAAATGATGAAATGAATGACACTAACCTAATGCAGAAGAGTACTCGATACAGCGAACAGGGGCATCATGGCATCCCAAAAGATTCTCCCTTTCGTTGTCAAAAACACGCTTGAGAGATGTAAAAGGAATGTAGCTTGAAACTTAGTCAATAAAAAGATAAGTCATTAATCCAATAAAGTATATGCATCATTTAGTCATACCTTGTGACAGTGTTATATGCACTAACACTAAAACCAGAGGTATCATCATGAAAGCAACAATCAAGAGTTGCACCTCCATGAAGGAACTCTCCTCTTAACACATTGGCACTTGCATCATATAAGCGAACACACTGTTACAGACAAATAATAGGTTATGATCTTTATTCTTGACCAGAATTCGCGTTTACCTTGATGACCCCGCCAAAGTGAAGCGGATCCTCCTGCCAACTAAGCTTTCCGGTAGTACCAATGATGGAAAGAAAATTGCCAAAACCGTTGATTTCACCTAATCAAACATATTGTGTGTTTCTTGTTCATCCCCTTTCCCATTTCCATGTGTCTTTATTCCTAATTAACACTAGTCGATTATTTCACCTAGTCACACATCATTGATTGTTAGTTTCACCAAAAATGGTTCGATCGTAAATGAAATAGAGAGAAATTAAGCCGGAAAGAAAAAGCGATTTAGCAAGCCAGGGTTCTTATAGAAGAACGAAAACATTGGGAAGTTAAAATCAAGAAAAACATACCTTAATAAGACATAGGGTTTGTAAATTTGAGCAATAGAAGCAGCGAGCCTAAGGTCACCGGACCTAATGTTGCTGGCAAGGGCAGGCAATGTGAGATTGCCGGAGAGGAGGGGCTCCACAGGCTGGATGTCGCTGGAAAGCATTGGAAGGTGGGGCGGGGCTTGACAGTGGTCAGAGGTAGGAGGAACCAGCACTAATAGAAACGTAAGAGGTGGGAGAAGCGGTCGACGCCGAGAACTGAGAAGAAGAGAAAAGGGAAGTTGAAGAGAGAACGAGTAGTAGAAGAGGGCGGTCGGGGCAAGTTCTTGAAAAAAAGCCCTAGCTAGTAGAGAAACTAAAGTGGAGGAGAAAAAAAGGAAGGCGTGGATTTTTAGTTTTCATGATTTCATTTTATTCAGATGAACCCACGCGTTCTATTAAAATTTATAAAGCGACAGTCTTAGACGACATGCATTTTATTATAGGTGGCCTCCGTGTTTTTGTTTTTGTTTTTGTTTTGACACTATTTTTAGGGCACACAAAAATGCGCATCCTAAATCCTTTAAATTTTGGAAGAGATGACATTATTTTTTGGACACACACATTTGCGTATTATAAATCACTGCATGTCATGGTTCGCGCGTTGTAAAAGGCTGTTTTTCTAGTAGTGAGGCCTAAAACTTACCAAGTATTCCTACCACAAAAATATCGATAGAATAAAGCAGACAACTTAAAATACTAGAGGAGTATTTTAGTCAGAGCGAGATATTTCGTAATGATTCATCCCAAGTGTTGCTACTCATTCTTTCTTAGCGATAGTTTTACTTGCATTAGTAGTTTCTTCCTGTTTATCGCTTAGTAGAACACTTTATCTATCGGATAGAGATATACCTTGTTTCATATCTCTTAAATCGAAAGTCCAAGGGACTTACCATCTTCTTCTTCCTGATATTGAACAAGATGCCTCCAAATAAAAGACCTAATAGAAAGAACAACTCCTCGACGGATCCAACGCCGCCACCACCTCCTCAGTTCAATCCCGCTTTGTTCCAGGTAGCTGTTACTGCCGCTGTGACTGCTTCTTTGTCACAGTTAAATCCTGGTGGTTCTGGGAGTGGTATTCATTCCCAAAATTATAATGGTAGTCAAGGGCATCAGAAAGAGTGCTCCTATAAGGACTTCATGAACGCAAAGCCCAGATCCTTTGACGATAATGGAGGCGTCATTGCCCTATCTCGATGGATCGAGATGATTGAATCGGTCTTCGAGATCTATGCATGCTTGGAAGTGACCAAGGTGAAGTTCGCTGCTTGCACCTTCACAGACAGAGCATTGACCTGGTTGAGTAGTTGGGTCGAGTCCCTAATGCTACTAGTAGCAAACACTATGGGTTGGGAGAGTTTGAAAGAGCTCATGCTCGCTGAGTACTGCCCAAGGGGCGAAATGAAGAAGCTGGAACACGAACTATGGAATCTAAAGATGAAGGGTTTTGATATTGCTGCCTACACTTCTAGGTTTGAAGATCTAGCACTTCTTTGGCCAGGAATGGTTACCCCGAAAAGCAAGAAGATTGAGAGATACATTTAGGGATTGACGCCCCAACTCAAGGAAATGTCTTGGCTGCTAGGCCAATCACTTTGGACAACACCAAGTGCTTGGCGTAGACTCTCATAGATCATGGAGTTGATCTTGATAAAGTGGCCACCGCACCTGAACTAGAAAAGGTGAGTGGTGAGAAAAGAAAGTTCTGGAAGCAACGAAAGGTCCAGCCTTTGTAGGAGCCCTCAAAGAAACAGAAAACGATGGCAATCCATGCTGCTACTACTCCTGTCGCTACTCGTGCCACTCAAGCACCTACCAGTAGATATGCTGGTTCCCTTCCTCGGTGTGAAAAGTTCAATTACCGTCATAATCCCGGTCCATGCCATGAAATGCTCTACAAGAGCTGTGGTGAAAAGGGGAACACATATCGAGTATGCAAGTCACCAGTCCAACCAACCAATCAGGCATCAGGAGCAGGTGTGGGTCAAGCCTTTTATGGATGTGGGGAAGTCAGGCACTACAAGAGAAACTGCCCCAAGACAGCAACTGGAAGCACGGGGAGAGTATTGGCAATGGGCCAGGAGGAAGCAGTTGCAGATCCCACAGCTGTTACGGGTACGTTCCTCCTCGACAACTCATATGCATGCATTCCTTTTGATTCTGGTGCGGAGAAAATTTTTGTTAGTCATGTATTCAAACATATTCTCAAATGTAAACCTCAACCCTTAACTGAAACATTTACCATTGAGATGGCTAACGGTGAGAAGTAAAGCACTAATGACATATTCATTGGTTGTACACTTACCCTAAACGATTATTCCTTCCCGATCGACCTTATGCCAGTTTCCATAAAGAGCTTTGATATCATCATTGACATGGTTGGTTGAGCCCCAATCGTGCTGATATCCTTTGCTACGAAAAAGCCATTCGCCTCAATCTTCCCTCTGGTGAAACCCTCATGATTTATGGCGATAAACTCAGTTCAAACCTTCGCATCATCTCATGAATCAAAGCCCGAAAACTTCTATGAAAGGATTGTCATGCATTCGTAGCCCATGTCATTAACGAGAAGCAAGAAGTTAAAGAGCTCGAGATCATCCTCGATGTCTGCAAGTTTCCTGATGTCTTTCCCGAAGAGCATTCGGGAATTCCTCCCAAGCGCCAAGTCGAATTTCGCTTCGACTTAATCCCCGTAGCTACCCCTATAGCCAAATCCACATACCGCCTAGCGCCAGCAGAAATGCAAGAGTTATCCAGCCAGCTCAATGAGCTGCTCAACAAAGGATTCATAAGACCAAGTTCCTCACCCTGGGGAACCTCGATTCTATTCGTAAAATAGAAGGATGTATCCTTTCGAATATGCATAGATTATCGTGAACTGAACAAACTCACCGTTAAGAACCGTTATCCTCTTCCTTGTATCGATGATCTCTTCGACCAACTTCAAGGAGCCAGCTACTTCTCGAAAATAGACCTAAGATCAAAGTACCATCTGCTGGGACTCCACAAGAGTGATGTTCCTAAGACAACATTTTGGACTCGGTATCGGCACTACGAATTTGTAGTAATGCCCTTCGGTCTAACCAACGCACCGATTGTATTCATGGACCTGCTGAATCGGGTGTGCCGTCCTTTCCTTGACGAGTTCGTTATCGTATTCATCGATGATATACTTGTCTATTCCAGAAACGAGGAACATCACAAACAAAACTTAAGATTGGTAAGCGAGGAAGGTGGTAACCGAGGAAGGAACACACGTGGACCCTTAAAAAATCAAAGCGATAAAGAATTGGTCAGCACTGAAGATACCCATAGAAATTTGTCAATTCTTGGGCTTCGCTGGCTATTATCGCAGGTTTATCTAGAATTTCTATAGAATTGACAAACCCTTAACCACTCTGACATAGAAAGGTGTACCCTTTCGTTGGAATGAAAAGCAAGAAACTGCGTTCTAAATGTTGAAACAGGCCCTATGCATCGCACCTATCCTGTCTCTTCCCGAAGGGATGGAGGATTTCGTTGTTTACTGCGATGTATCCAATTAGGGTTTAGGCTGTGTACTTATGTAGCGGGGAAAGGTTATCGCTTGTGCCTCAAGACAGCTGAAAGCACACGAGGTCAACTACATGACTCATGACTTAGAGTTGGGAGAAGTAGTCTTCGCATTGAAGATATGGAGGGATTATCTCTACGGAACCAAGTGCACTGTCTTCACTGACCATCAAAACCTGCAACATATTTTCGACCAGAAGGAGTTGAACATGAGACATCGGCGATGGGTTGATCTACTTAGAGATTACGATTGTGAAATACACTACCATCCCGGAAAGGCCAATATGGTGGCGGATGCCCTTAGCCGAAAGGAATGCTCAGGTCGTAGAGTGAAGACACTGACCATGACTATCCATTCCCATTTATCCACGCAAATTAAGGAGGCTCAGCTGGAAGCCTTAAAACCAGAGAACGTGAAGGATAAAGCATTGAGAGGAATGGATAAGAACCTGGAGATCAAGGGAGACGAAATCTATTATTTCATGAACTGGATCTAGACCCCAAAGTTTGGTAGTTACAAAGAGGTTGTCATGAAAGAAGCTCACAAGACCAGATACTCTGTTCACCCAGGTTCGGACAAGATGTACCTTGATCTCAAGAAGTTGTATTGGTGGCCAAACATGAAAGCAGAGATTGCTACTTTCGTGGGCAAGTGTCTGACTTGCGCCAAGGTAAAGGTCAAATATCAGAAGCCCTCAGGTTTGCTTCAGCAGTCGGAGATACCTAAGTTGAAGTGGGAGAGGATTACCATGGATTTGATCACCAAATTACCCAAATATTCGAGTGGGTACAACGCCATCTAGGTAATAGTCAACCGATTGACAAAATCCGCTCACTTGCTGCCAATCAAAGAAACTTTCAAGATGGAAAGACTCACATGAATCTACATTCAAGAGATAGTTCGACTGTACGGTGTGCTTGTGTCCATTATCTCCGACCGAGATAGCTGGTTCACTTCGAGGTTTTGGCAGTCACTACAGAAAGCTCTTGGAACTAAGCTGGACATGAGTACAACTTATCATCCTCAGACAGATGGGTAGAGTGAGAGGATCATCCAGACCTTGGAAGACATGTTGCGAGCATGTGTCATCGACTTTGGTAAGTCATGGAATGCCCATTTTCCCTTGGTCGAGTTTTCCTACAACAACCATTACCATACCAGCATCAAGGATGTGCTTTTCGAAGCCCTCTATGGTCGCAAGTGCAGATCCCCTCTGTGTTGGGCTGAGGTTGGCGACACGCAACTAGCCAAAGGGCAAGTCCCTAACAGCACTCTCACTGGCCCATAGATTATCTATGCAACCACTAAAAAGATTGTACAAATCCGGGAACGAATGAAAGTCTCACGAGACCGACAAAAGAGCTACGTCGATAAGCGACGAAAACCCTTGGAATTCCAGGTTCTGTGAAGGTATCACCCTGCAAAGGCATGATATGCTTTGGAAAGCGTGGAAAGCTAAATCCAAGGTACATAGGTCCTTTCGAAATCCTCGCTATTATCGGTCTCGTAGCATACACTCTCCGTTTTCCTCAAGAGCTTAATAACATTCATCCTGTCTTCCATGTCTTG